GGTGCTGGGGGATTGAACCGCGGTCCCTGATGCTTTTGCTAAGCTTGTTCTAAGTAGGTGCTTTAGACCACTGAGCCATCTCTCCAGCCCCTGTTTTATTTTTATTAAGAACAGAATTTCCAGGGAACCTCAGGAACTTCAACATCTAATTGATTCTTATCAAACAAAAGGAAACAATACTTTCCTTCAGTTTTGACAATTAGGTTTAAATACTGTAAGTGAGCTATAAAACTGGTCATATAATGTGTGAGAAATTCCATAGATTTTCTATCATTTCTCTTTTTCTTTATGAACAAGAGGTGTCATTTTTTTCCCAAGGATTTAGGACAAAAAAAAAAAACAAACAAATTCACCTCTAAATGTGATTTATAAAATGTAAAATGTAAAGAAAGCAATGTACTATAAGGGGAAAAATACAAGATGTGTCTCAGCTGCATTCAGCCCAACAAAATGGAAATTGAGTAGTGAAGAGCAGCAGCCGGATGGTTGAAGGTGTGGTCTACCAGCCCTGGGCCTTAAAAAGTAGTGACTCCCTTGTGCAGGGGCTGTTTTCCACTTTCCTACACCTCACCTTCACAATGGGCAGAAGAAGAGATACCAACTAGCTCACAAGAAAGTGCACAAAGAGAGTAAGTTTTTGAGAGCACAGGGCTCTGTGTGGGTAATGGACAAGGTTTAATTGCATCAAGATTTTTCTTATTGAGTAACGCATCCTGTTAATGTTCATGGCAGGTCTCTGACCAAAAAGAAAAGAAAGAATTAATATTTTCAGTGAACACTTCCACTGACTTAATAGATAAATAAAAAAGCTGTTAATAAAAACAGAAAAATATCTAAATTTCATAGCGAACTGGGCATGGTAGTACATGCCTGTAATCCCAGAACTCAGGATGCTGAGACAGTCAGATCTTTGTGAATGTCAGACTAGCTTGGGCTACAAAGTGAGGTCAAGGCCAACCTGCACTGCATAGCAAGACCCTGTCTCAAAATGATAGGAAAACAAAAACAAAAATGTGAGTCAGACAATGTTGGTAGAATTTACAAAATTGATCTTTACTTTGACAGCAAGAAGCATTTTCATTTTTCATATTCTATGAACATATACAAGTACCAGGTTCACAGCCTGCCAGATACATAAGTGAGTAAAACAGATAGTGTGAGGTTCTATTCTTATCCTTGTTCACAGGAAACAAGAACCCTGGGAGTTCATGAGTGTACAGCCCACTCTGTGACACAGAACATCCCTCTCCCAGTCTTTGCACTCACTTGCTGTCTGGGTAGAAGGTCCAGGGCTATTTCTAAACTGTCCATTGCCTTCCACTACAGTCCTGGCTCTTCTCTTTTCTGCTTTGACTTGACTCTACCCCTGAAAAGCCCTATTTACTGATCCCAACTTGTTACATGAATTATTTAATGATTACTTTGGGTCTCATTTGAGTGTTAAGTCCTACTTTTGTCTACTTCAGAGTGTAATTTTACAAGCTCGAACTTTTGTGCAAAACACCGTTAGTACTCATATATTTATAATCATCATTCAAATCCTGCACACTTGTATCCGTTCAGTCAAATCCACCACGTGTTAATTTCCGCCTGTCTGGGGAACAGCTCTGCTTTAGCTGTGACCAGGTGAAAGGAGTAGACTCACCCAGACTGAGGCCAAAGAACCCCCATGCAGAGCACTCAGTGAGGTGTGAAAGATAAGTGGTAAAGCCTCCGAGTCACTTGAATTGCCTGCAGTTTGTTTCTGGATTAGCTGTACTGACTTCCATTGAAGAACTAAAATAAAATATGGTGATACTTGATAAAACAGTAAGAAAGAATTCATTTTGAACTATGAGGACAGGGTTAATCCTATCTTCTGATAGGTCCTCAACTGTGAACATAGCAAAGATAGTCTGAGATAGCAAACACGCAAAATGAAGGAGTCAGTAGATGGAAAATCACCGGACATAGCTAAGGTGGGGTCCTTGCTGAACCAACTTAACAAAGGTATCTAGGAACAAGGGTCAAGGCTGGCAGCTATCCATTAGGGAGGCAAGGAGCTGGAGAGATAGTGAGGACAATGAAATCACGAGGGAGGGGGACTGTAAGAAAACCTATCTACCATGAATCTTATGTCCAGAGGGCTAGGACAACTGGGCCTAAAGAGAAGAACAGTTGTCAAAGAGGACTTCGGGAAACCTTCCTACAGTGTGAACAAGGAAATTCTTTGTCAGAACCTTATGAGCCATAGAGAGAGAAATAGAACTATCCTTTAAATTATTACATGGGAGATAGAATTATAATTCTTTGACAAGAGAATTATTTTATTCCATAAAGTATATTGTCAAAACTCTTGTTAAGAATGTTAAGAATCTTGAAAGCCTATTCATTTTTAACTTGCATTTTGAAACACTTGTACTTACAGCTGGAATCTTGCTCCATTCCTTTGACCAGCTTTTCCTTACATTAACTGCATTAATCATACCAACATGAATAAACTAACGTTGCTGCAATATATTACCTAGACGTAAGCGTTTCCTCAGATTTCCTCAGTTTATTCATTGATGTCCTTTTCTGTCCCATGAATCAAGCCAGAACACCACATTCCATTTTGCTGTCCCATTTCTAGAGACCCTCGTAATCTCTAATGCACACTCAGTCTCTGTTTCCATGGCCTGGAGCCTTCTTCTGGAGAAGATGGCAAGTCATTATGCAGAATTTCATCAGCTAGGATTTGTATGCTACTCACTCATGATTTAAAACTGAAGTTATAGGACTGGGGAGATAGCTCAGCAGCCTAAGTGCCTGCCTGGCAACCGCAAGGGTGGCTTTGATCCCTGGTACCACATGCTGTGCTGACCACTGAGACTGGGTGTGGTGGCGCACACCTGTAATGCCAGCACTGGTGAGGCTGAGATGAGAGGATCACTATGAGATTGAGCTGTGTAGCAAGACCCTGTACCAAGTAAACAAATAAAAGATTAAAAATTTTTTAAAGTCTAGTTATAAATTTATGGGTTTGATGTGTTCCCACCACACGGTATGGGAAATACAAAATATCACCATTTGTTTTACTGCTGATTTTGGGCTTAGTCATTGGGATAAGTTGGTGTCTTCTAGCTTTCACCAGGATAGGTTTATTATTTATTTATTTATTTATTTATTTATTTATTTATTTATTTATT